CATTCCTGGCTGTGCCTTCCCACTGCGTTGGGCAAGGACTGATGGCCCTTGGGGAGAAGGTCACACCACAGTGCTGACGGAGGGGTCGGAGAGGTTGAGCTGGCCGGTGATGTCGGTGGGATGATATTGCTGCAACACACAAATACACAGACAAGGAGAAAGAAGTGTTAGGCAGTTCTGGAACTTGCCCCCACCTCTTCTTACACCCCATGTGTCCCTACAGGATATCTCTTGGGGGCGATGCAAGGGCCAAAACCTGCTGCTGGCTGAGGCCCCCTTCCCAGCTGGTGCAGAGGTCGTTGCAGACGCTCTCCAAGCCCCCTAGGGCTGGGCAGGGAGGGTGCCCAGGAGCGCGGCGCAGCTTCTGCAGAGCATGGCAGCCGCGCCGCCTGCTGAGCGAGCCCCCCTCTGCTCCGGGAGAGCGATGAGACAAAGACTGTGACTCAGCAGCCCAGCCCACTGCCAAACTTGTGTTTGGAGGGTCTGGCTGGGTTTCGGCATCTCTCTGGTGCCAGATCAAGCTGTGCTTCGAGGCCAGAGCATTTCACCTCCTTGCCTGAATGGCTCTGCTTTGGCTGCCCTTTGGTGCAGGTGAGGAGATGTGCGGTGTGGCTGACTTGCGATAAACTGTAGCGTCAATTGCTAATGTGAAAATGCAGCCTGTGTGGGGGATGTGGCCTGGATTTGGGGTTCTGCGCTCCTTGCGGATGGGGGGGGGGCTTGGCAAATGCTCCCTGGGAGAGGCCTCCTTTGCCACAGTCCCACCGGCAAGCAAACGGGGAGAGCAGAAATACCCTTCAATGGGCAAGAAAAAAGAAAAGTCCTTCCTCCCCAGGCAGGGATTTACAGCTGGGATGTTATTTTCTCCCTTCCTTCTTCCATACTGCCTTTCCTTTCCAGTTCCACTCTCCTAACTCCAAACCCTGAACTGGAAGCCCTGTCCAGCCTTGCTGCGAGAGCGGGTGGCACGGAGCGTCCTGCGCTGCTGCCTGGGGACCTCAGTTGGTGCCAGGGCAGGAAAGGGTCTGGGTGGGTCTCACGTGCTGCGGCGCAGATCCTCTCCAGGGGCGTCTGCCCGGCCCTCGCACCACGCTACCCAGGAGGCTGCCATTGTGCTGGGCTCCTGGGGGGCTCCTCGGTGACAGGATTTTACCCGTCTTGTGTTGGTCAGTGGTGACTGCGGCCCCCATGGTGCTGCTGCCGGCTCTGTCACTGTGGCTACCCTGCGTGGCTCTACACCCTGTCTCCTGCTACGGGGAGGTCAGGGGTCCTTGGGGGGTCCTTGGGCTTGCCCTGCTCTGCACAGGACCCCTCGGCAGGGAGCTGCTGGGGCAGGGGCGGGAGCCAGCATGCTCCCGTCTCTCCAGTGCCTGTGCTGGGGATGTGCTGACACCCAGGGAGCGTCTCACGGGATCGTTCTTTCATTTAGGGGTCTGGCTAATATTAAAGTGGAGCCTCTGAGAAATTCCTTGCTGTAGCCTTGCTTTGCTAAGTGGCAACACCTCGGCCATCGCCCGTTTGCACAGAGAACGGCTGAGGCGATCCTCAAGTCGCTCTGCCACCCTGGGGGGAGCCTTTTGTGGCTATTCATCAGTCCACCAAAAAATGCCCCTCTGTCCCCAAAATGGGTGCAGCCGCCCCCCTTCTTGTGCAAAATTAGGATTCCAGCGAAATGCAAGCTTTCCTTTCTGTAGCAAAATGGCTGGGAGGCGTGCGCTCGCGGGACAGGGCTGGATGCCCGCAGGGAGGAGAGGCGACTGGGAAAGGGGAGAGGCTGGATGACTCAGTGGTGGAGAAGAAGGAGGAACTTGAGATACAAAAAGGAACGGGGAGAAGAAAGGTCCTTTGTTAAATATCCTGCCTGATGCAAGCGGTGAGGGGAAGCAGAGTGTGCATGCATGTGAGCGTGTGCCTTGGTGCACGTGTACGTGTGGCTGCTGCCGTGGGAGGCTGGAGGTCCAGCAGGGCAGGCTGGGGCGTTCTGGCCTCTCTGCACAGCTCCGGGGGTGGGAAACACTAAAATAACCAAGTGAAGTGGGGCACCTGGCCAGAAAAATTAAAATACAAGAGCGTGGCTTTTGATTTGAAAGCATATCTCCTCCAATCACAGTTATCACAGGGTAACATTCTCATTTACTTGTTTTGTGTAGAGTTCATGCATGCAATTTTTAATAATAAAAATGAAAAAAAAAAAGAAAATAAAAAAAAGCAAGAAAACTGTAATATCAAAATTATGTTAAAGTAGAACTAATGCTAGAAGCACATATCAGTAATTTAGGGTAAACTATGTTACAGGGATGGTGCAATTATCCCCAAACCAAACATTATAAAGCCAAGAAATTAATCAATATTAACCGTAGAAGAGACTCAAACATGTTAAGGTATGGAAGTGAAGTGAAGGCACCAAAAACTTTAAATGACAACCAGGAAGAAAATATAGACAAGAACTTAATATGTCTTTAAAAATGACTTCAACCTAAACTGGGCTCATATGGTAGTCCCTGGCTGGTGGAAGATTTTCTGGAAGAATTTGGGGTTTTGTTCTTTTCTTTTTTTCAGTTAAAAATTAGGATTCCAGCTAAATGCGAACTTGCTGTAGAAAATGTCAGCTTTCCTTAAAAAAAAAAAAATTTAAAAAAGTAGTTGTCTTTGACCTACTTTTCATTCTTTTGGGCCAAAAACTACGTTCTTTCTCAGCCAAGAAGCGTTTGGCTTTGGGACGGCTGATCCTTCACTGAAAAGGTGACCTTCTCCATGAACCCCCTTGGTTCTCGACCAGCTCTGGCACCGTTCCCGTGGCTGCAGGGCAAGCATCGCCTTACAGCGCCGGGCCCTCGCTTGGCGGTGACGTGGGATGTGTGTCATGCTGTGTCTGGGGGGAACGCCCGCGGGCGGGCAGTGTGACTCTGCGGGGGCAATGTGCCGGCTCGGAAGGTGTCTGTGTGGTTTATGCGTCTCACATGGCTTCTGTGGGGTTGCAGTATCGTGGGTGGCTGCGATGGATGGTAGTACGTCAGCTCTGCGAGTGCTATTCGAGTTGCAGGAGCTGCCTATGGGGAACACATGCATCTCCTCCTGGGGCGGTGGGGATGATGTGCCGCGGAGAGGCTGTGCAGCTCGGGTGATGGTGGGCGCTAGGACGTTCAGAGTGGGGTGGTAGCTTCCCAGGGCTGTCTTGGCTCCATGGTGCCAGCCTGTCTCTCTGGCACTCCTGAGGGACCATTCTGCAGGGCTGCAGAGCAGAATCCATTTTTAAAACTCCCGACAACGAAAAGGAAAGAAGCAAGGCCACCAGGTTTGCGTCTTTCGCTCGCTAGCCAGGAGAGCCCATGGGGCTGGGGTCAGCCTGGCCTTCCAGCCCCATGGGCTCTCAAGCCTTGCCCATCTGAGACCTGGTGTGGGCCCGCGGCTCTGCTGAGCATCATGAAACAGAGCTCCTCGCTGCTTTCTTGTCTTTACAAGGACCCCAGGCAACGTGTCCCAGCATGCTACGTCCTCGTGGGGCCTTCCACAGCAGGAGGGCATTGGGGTCTCTGAGCCAGGGCTGCTGCATGGAAGTGGAGGGCACCAAATGGCAGGCTGTGACATGAGCTGGTGGCAGCACCCTCCCATTGGCCGCTCACCCCACAGAGCAACCAGCAGGTCTGCCCAACATCACAACAAAGCTTGCTCCACCACGGGCCCCCTACAATAGCCGGACCTTGGACCTGCTAGACTCCATCTTGGCAGTGTTGGCTTGGATATCAGCCCCCACTAGCCTGTTCTTGACCCAACCAGCCTGGTTCCCTGGGGAATCTGTCCTGGAACCCTGGCCACATTGCCCCATGGCAGCCAGAAGACTGCGACGGGCTCCCGGGCAGCAGGGCATCATTTCCTGTAGTTCCCCTGCAGTGGTGGTGGGGGGGCAAAGTGGGGGCCATCTTCTGGGATGAGTGGGGCCATCTCCCTCCACAACTTGCCTCTGAGCAACATCCCAAGAAGAGCATGGCCAGGATCCAAAGCATAGGGAGCCCCATGCCGTGTTGTCCCCACTGGGTGGAGGAAGGGGAGAACATAGCTCTATTGCTCACCCATGGGACCTCCATGGTGCATGGGTGCATGATGCATGGGTGCATGGGACCCACCATGGTGCAGGTGGCCCCTGGAGCTCGTCAGCTCAGGGCATTGGGGTGCTCCTAACCTGGGGCAGAGAGTGCCGTGGAGTGATGGGGCACAGGGTGGGTGCCACGCCATGGAGCAGGATCAGGCCCAGGATGCTTCCCTGAAGGGGAAGCAATGTGGGAGGTCCTGGGGTGCCACATGCCAGCTGCCCCGGTGTCCCTGGGTTCTCCCCCATCTGCTGTGCCCACTGTGGGCACCAGTGGCCCCAGGTGCCCTCTGCACCATGATGCTCCTGCTCTCCCAGGACAGGACCCTTTGGTTCCCAAACCGTGGAGTGGTTCAAACACAGCCAAACATGTGGGTCTACTCAGGACATGCTGAGGGTCCCCCTGGCAGATCTTTCTGCAATTTTACCCCCCTTTTTCCTGTGCATCCCACCTGTCCCTCCTCCTCCTCACTCTTCCCACCTTCTCCCCCTGCACCATTCACCCCGTCTCTGTCTCCTCTCCCCTGGCTGGGGCTCAGGCCACCAAGGCACAACAGCAACCTTCCCACAGAGCCTCTTGGGGGGTGCAGGAGTGGGGAGGGGGCACCCCGGACATAGGGGCATCACTTGCACAAGGTGCTACCCAAGGATCACGGAGGCAGTGCAGGAGATGACAGGGATTCCTGTCTTCCCCATGGAAGATGAGTGGGGATGAGTGGGGAGAGCGCGGGGGTCTGTCCCATCCCCCCCCGGCTGCCAGGCTTTGAGGTGACAGCGAGAGGAGCACTTTGTGTGAGATGGTGGCAGCCGAGCCCGGATGAGGGCTCAGGTGTCCCTAGGGCCGTGTCCCAGGGGTGCTCCAGGAGCTTCTTGGGATGGAGCCTGCATTGGTGCCAAAGGCAGCCACCTCCATTTCGCATACAGAGCCATGGCCCTGAGACCCCCTGTGGTATCACATGCTGCTCCCCGAGGTGCCCCGAGCCGGTGGCCGGGGCTGGGCCACCCCGCTGCGGGGGGGCCACATCTCCCCACGCTGCTGCTGTCCCCCCGTCCCCGCTGCGCCTTGCGCCTGGGGCAGCCTGGCAGGGAGCCTGCTCTGAGCAACCCTGGGCAGAAACCCGCCGGTTGCCCCAGGGAGGTGATTTCAGCAAGCCCGTCGCGCCGGGAGGTTGGGCAGCAAAATGCAGTGGCCGCTGCCACACGAGACAACAGAGTAGCCACAGTGCAGAGTGTCATACAACAGACGGCAACATGCAGAGGGACACCGGCTCAGTCCGACAGACCAACAGCCCAACCTGACGCTGAAGCGTCTGAAGCTCCAGCACGAGCAGACACGTTTGCACATTTGGAAACAGCTGGCTTTAGAGGCAGCAATTTGGAAATTTTCTCTGGTTACGTGAAAGCAGTTTTACTCCAAGGCAGAAAGCACAAGTTTGAACCAAGGTTGGGTCTTTAGCAACCTCCTCTTTAAAGCCTTTGCGTCTCTTTTGCAGAGCAGCGTTACTGCTGACGCTAACCAGAGGCAGCTGTCGCCCCTGTGCTGAGGGCTACGTCCCGAATGCTAATCATCACAAACAAAAATTACATGTAGAGAATGTGACACGCATGGCTCTCGGTGAGGTGACACAGTGCCCAAATTAAATCGGGGTGATCGTTTTTTAGGCATACAATGACAAACAGGTACAGGAACACTCAGGAACAGAAAAAAAAAAAAAAAAGAAAAAAAAAGAAAAAAAAATGTCATCGGTTTCAAGAGGTCAGCACCAGTAAGGTGAGCGAAGCACAGAGAGGAACATCAGAAATCATCCAGGCAAAAAAGAAAACAAAAAAAACGAAACAAAAACTCGGTTGCATCTCCCAACTCATCACAGGACTCCAAGCCACCTCCTGCCTGCCCTCCAGGATCCCAGCATCCTTTCAGGAACACGGGGTGACTGACTGACTGACTGACTGACTTGTGACGAACATGAGCTATGCATGTACACTGGCAGCTTCGGGATGGGTGTGTGGCAGTCGATGGGATGGCAGAAGAGAGAAAGAGAGAGAAAGAGAGAGGGCAGAATTGTTCTTCTTCCTCTTACCGTATCCTTGGAGGACCTACGTCTCTTGAAGCTGGAGGCCAGGGTGGAGGTGATGGACCTAAAAGTGGCTTTCTTTTTAGGGTCAGGTTCTGCTCTACCACTTTTTCTATCCTAAAATGAATATGTATAAGTGATTAGATCTCTAGTGTGTTGTTGGAAACGCTAAATCTATTTGAATACTGCCCCGTGTCATGTCCTTCATTTAGGTGAGAAAGCTACTTGGAGGTGTCCTGTCACTCCCAGTCTTCCAAGGGCCTCCGTGACCTATGGCTACAGCATGGCCACCACACTGCTACAGCTACGGGGCCGGCCTCGCATCTGGAGCGCTGGAAACCCTCTGGGGAGAAGCCCTGCTCTCCTGGGTGTCGGCATCCAGGCCGGCATGCTGGCCTTGCGTCCTGGGGATGCTTTGCCTGGCGCCCTGCCCCTCGCTGCCACCGCCAGCCTGGCTAGACCGAGAGGCGAGATGCTGTACCTACTGCTAAAAAAAAGTAAAATAATTGCTCAGGGCCTTTTCTGAGGCTGAATCCTAGCGCCACAAGAGAGAGAGAGGACTGCATTGAAAGAGAAGTCATTGTATGGATATTCTGTAAAAAAATGTATTCAAAAATTTAAATGATGCAGTTGTGCAAAGCCGAACGTGGTTGGTGGTGGTGGTGTTTTTTTTTTTTTCCAAAGTAAAACAGGTTAAAAAAAAAAAGAAAAAAAAGAAAACTGGAAGAAAAAGAAAAGGAAAAAAAAAAAAAAAGGAAAAGAAAGGGAGGAGGCAAAGCGTTAGCGCTATGATGTCATCGGGGTTGGGATGAACTCAAAGAGAAACAGAACTGAAAAATGTAGGCATTGGTGTTAGCGAGTCGGACCTGGTTAGCGCAGGCTGGGAGCACCAGCCGCCATGGTGCGGGGGCAGCGAGCCGTGGGGACCGGCCGCGCTCTGCGGCGGGCGCTGAGAACGATTCCTCCCCAATTGCTTTCGTGCCAATGAGTGTGACCTTTCCGACGGGGGACGGAGTGACCAGGTCTGGCTCTGCTACCGCACGGGGGTAACCAAAATGTATCCCGCTGGTGCGTAGAGCATGCTCGGGGATACATTTGCTCCTCCTTCTCAGTTCTCTCTTTTGCGGACATGCACAAACGGAAAGGAAAGCAAGATGAATGGAATGAAATGTCTTATTCTTCCATGGCATCTCAGGAAATAGCCATGGCAAAACTGTGATCCCAAAAACCATTATTTTTGTTTGTTTGTTTTAACAAATAAATCTTTCCACTTGCCTACCTTCTAGCAATGTACCAGATACTAGTGCTCTGACGTTTCTTCCTGTGGAAAAGTCTCACAATGTCAAACGGCTCTTTACCATGAGGCTGTTTACCCCCGCAGGGCAGCATGCTTTGCTCACAGTCCCACAGACTCTGCCCAAGGACCCAGTGCAGTATTTTCTAGAAGGTTGGCAAGTGAAAAATGGCAGTGCGACTAGTGTGCTCTGTCCCAGCAGTCTGACCCCCCTCGGTGCTGCTGCTTTTTGGAAGCAAAGGAAAAAAAAAAAGAAAAAAGGAAAAAAAAATAGAGAAATGGCTTTTTCCGAGACTCTGATCAGTGAGCTGAACCCAGCAAGCTCTCAGGATACAGCAGCCCGGCCTCGTGCTGCCCTTTGCTGCTCTCGGGCAGGTCGCTCGCACCCTTGCCTAAAGGATCTCTTGCTCTTTGAAAGCCGGTTTGCTTCCCCAAGGAAGAAAAGCAGACTGGGCAATTCTGAGAGAGCCTTCAGCTGCCCTAAACTGGGGTTCGGGGGGCACCGTGGGTCTCATCCCCAAAAGCAAGGGGGTAAGGGAAGCATGAGGCTGGTGGCCCCCGGACGTGCCCATGGCTCAGTGTCACTGCCAGGCACCACCGACCCTCCTGGGCTCCCCTGCCTGAGCGGCATGGGGGGATGGGAGAAGCCGAGGGGAGCAACAGCCCCGCGGAAGGGGCCCAGGGAAGCCTTGGTGCTGACAGGCACCAGCACGGCTGGCTCCCGTGTGGGGAGATGTCCTTGTCTCCAAATGACAAGAGCACGCACCACCTCTTTTTGGAGTCGGTCCTGGGTATGAGAAGGGCTGCCGTACCCCTGGGGAGCAGGCAGGGAGGGGGAGGCAATGGAAACCATCCCTGGAGCATTTCTCCACCCAAGCAGTAGGCAGTGGATTTACCCTCCCGTCTGCTGGTGAGCGCAGCCGGAGCTTGTCAGCAGGGCAGAGCTCCCACAAAGGGACCCACGCTGGCACTGGTGGCTTGGCCAGGGCAAGATGTGGCTCTGGCATGCGGTCCCCAGCAGAGCAAAGTCCCTGTCCCAAGCACCGCTGGGGGCATTTGGGCCAGGTGTCTGTCCCAGTTGAAGCTGTGCACGACACCAACTGGGAGAGACGGCAACGGCCAAGGGCAGCTCCCGGGGACAAGGCAGGGGCCCTACGGCTTGCTAGGCACCCAGTAATGCCCAGCTGGAGTTACTGGGGTGCGGTGCGGGGGACAGAGGGCCTCATGCTAATCCACAGCTCTGCATTCACTGGTTTGGTGAAGGAATGGAAAACGCACCTGTTGGAGATTTGCTCTAAAAACGGTTTGTCCTACCTGCAGGTTTTTCCTCCACACATTAACGGCCGCAAACGCCAGCTGCATCTGCTTCCTCCGCGCGTCCTTATGCCTTTTGTAAGCTATTTCTATGAATATTAAAAATATCCCGGCAACAATACCTCCAGCCACCAGCATAAACACACCTGAAATAAGCAGGAAAGTTACAGGGGGCAATGGAAATCGCACCATGACACTTCATTTCCTCTGTATCACGTTCAGCAACAGGAGCATCTGCCAACCCAGAGTCCCCCCGCCATCCCCCCGCAGTCCTGGAGGGGCCAGGGAGGGGAACCCAGCAGAGCAGGGTGGGCCCCCGCGGTGATGGGCAGAAAGGTGATGGGGTGTTGGATGTCCGTGCAAGCTCCTGTCGGTCAGGCACAGGGCACCGGCTGTGCTGCAGCAATGCTGGGGGCAGGCACGGCATGCTGGGTGCTGTACTGGGCACCGGGGCAGACCCCGTCCCCTGGGGCTGTAGGGTGGTTTGCACCAGAACCCCAGTGCTGGCCCTCCCACTTGGCTCATCAGGGAGGACAGCCATGCACAGAGCTCTCTGCGCTGCCCTCGGCCGGCTGCAACCCTCGGGGCTGATGTTTTGGGAGTGGTGTCTTGAGGAGATGGAGCAAAATGCCCCCCGTCTCTCAGCGCTTCTGCCCTGGCCCGTGGTGCCAGCGAGGGTGGGGTCCCATCGGACACCCCTCATCCCACATCGCCACGTTGGCTGGGTAAATGACCGGCAGCACCGCATCCCCGCAGAGGGAGAGCCCGCCCAGGGGAACTTGCAGTCTTTTGCAAAGGACCAAGAAACCCCCCCTCTCTATTGGTTATCCTCCTCCTGCCCCCTGCCCACCGCCCAGGGCAGCCGGGACAGGCTTCTTGGAGCTGGGGGCTGCCCCTCGCCGCAGGCTCCCTCCTGCAGCAGGGTCCTCGCTTGCCTCCGCGGCCGCTCGCCTCCCCTGAGGTGCTGCTCCCCTCTCTCTGCCTTGGCGACAGCTCTGATTTCACTGTGACAGCCGCAGGTTGGCCAGAGCAGAGGGAGGGGAGCAATGTTCAAAGCAGGACAGCCCCACCGATGAGAAAGCCACCCCAAGGAAGGGGGGGAAAGCTTCACGGAGCCGTTTCGGACAAGGTGGGGTTGGAGCCCAACACAGCAGCCTCCCAGCGCTAGGAAAGCACAAACCCAGAAGAAGCAGAGCTTTGGCCCAAGAGGAGAGCCCTGGAGAGGAGAATGTCTTGAGCGAAAGCAGGCTACCCAGCGAAGAGGAAGAAAGAGGTTTGCAGAACAAACCTGCCATATTTTCAAAGGTGAGTGTTGCTGGGGCATTGCTACGGGAATCACACTCCTGATACCTCACCCAAGTCTTGTCCAAATCCTCCATGAAGCCGTTCTCGTGGGACCTGAAAGCACAAGGAGACAGGACAGGGTAGTCCCTGGGGACCAGCCCCAGGCAGCCAGGCA